GGGTGGTGGGTCTCGAGTCCGAGGAGCCCTTCCCCTCCGCGGCGCCCCACCCTCAGTCTCAACTCCCCTTGGTCACACGGACTCTCCCCTACTGGGCCGGGGTCCCTGGAAGTTGGGCTCCCCGCTCCGAAGCGGCTCTGGGATGCTCTGCGCCTGTGAGCGGTGCCCCGACCCCCGCCCAGTCCTGCCAGGCCCCCTGGACTGGCCTGGGACTCCCTGCACATTCCTGTGGGCACCACACATTCCCTGGGACTCAGCACTGGGCCCTAGCGCTGCCACACAGCGGAGACGGCCCCTGCCTCCTCTGTCCGTCCTCCCCATCACCCAGCCTCCAAATCTTGGGCAAAAAGGAGACTGTTGGGAACTGACTGGGACCCACAGAGGAGTTAAGCTCGCTCCAGCCTCAGCCCCTCCTACTCCTCTCCTCACACACATACCAGAGCCTGGAGGGGACCCAGGGAGAGTCCTGCAAAGCCCCTCAGAACTCAGCAGTGTGGACATTTCCCGCTTCACCCTGCACTGACCACAAGCGGGGAGGCAGCCAGGGTCTGCCCCTGTGACCCCATTCTGAGCTAGGCGGGTTATAATGACCAGGCCTCACTCGCAGCCTCCCCACCTCCTTCCCGGGCAGCCCTGGGAAATTGGGGGTCGTTGGGCTGGGTGAGAGCTGACCAGGCCTCTCCACCTGCAGACATGTCCTTCCGAAAAGTGGTTCGGCAGAGCAAATTCCGGCATGTGTTTGGGCAGCCGGTTAAGAATGACCAGTGCTATGAGGACATTCGAGTGTCCCGTGTCACCTGGGACAGCACCTTCTGCGCAGTCAATCCCAAGTTCCTGGCGGTGATTGTGGAAGCCAGCGGTGGGGGCGCCTTCCTGGTGCTCCCCCTAAGCAAGGTGGGGCCCATCAGGGCTGGGGGAAGGAGTGGAGGTGGCTTGGCCACTCCTGCCAGGCCAACCGCTCACTCCCATATCTTGGCCATCCCCACACTGCTGGGCAGGTGTCATAATCCAGATTTACTGCCTGAAAGGTTTTAGCACATAGTAAAGTCTTTTATTGCCACAGAGTCAGAGTAAAAGGCAACAAATATTTCATGCTCACCTGGTGATGCCCAGGAGGCAGAGGTGAGCCAGGAAGAGGCAGAGTCACATCTATCTGGCCCCCGGTGGTCCAGGCCAGGTGCACCATCCCCACTCCAGGGAGGGGAAGACTGAAGCCCTGGGAGGGACGGAGCTTGGGGGCCTTGAGTCCCCCTTGACTGCCCCCCTTATGCCTGCAGACAGGCCGCATTGACAAGGCCTACCCGACGGTATGTGGACACACGGGACCTGTCCTGGACATCGACTGGTGTCCCCACAACGATGAAGTCATCGCCAGCGGCTCGGAGGACTGCACAGTCATGGTGAGGCGTTGGGCTCTGGTGGGGTCTGGGTCGTGGGTGTGGTTCGAGGCTGCTGGAAGCAGGACCAAGCAGAGGCCTCAGCTGGCAACCTCACCCTCCCACAGGTGTGGCAGATCCCGGAGAATGGGCTGGCCTCCCCGCTGACAGAGCCGGTGGTGGTGCTGGAGGGGCACACCAAGCGTGTGGGCATCGTCACCTGGCATCCAACGGCCCGCAACGTGCTGCTCAGCGCAGGTCTGCACTGCGCCCCCTCCCCTCTCCACGTACAGCCCTGAAATCTCCTACACCCTTTCCCAGGCCCATCTGACAGATGGAAAAGCTGAGGCCCATAGGGGTTGAGAGACCAGGTCTGGTCCCAGGAGGGTGGTCAAAGGGAGGCTGGCTGGTGGGCTGATGGCCCTCTACCTGGCAGGCTGTGACAATGTGGTGCTCATCTGGAATGTGGGCACGGCGGAGGAGCTCTACCGCCTGGACAGCCTGCACCCCGACCTCATCTATAACGTCAGCTGGAACCGCAATGGCAGCCTCTTCTGTTCCGCATGCAAAGACAAGAGTGTGCGCATCATTGACCCCCGCCGGGGCACCCTGGTGGCGGTACGTGGCCCTGGAGGGCGAGGATGGCGGTGGACAGGGCAAGGGGCTCTATTGGGGCCCTGCACTGACCACTCTGACCCCTGACAGGAACGAGAAAAGGCTCATGAGGGGGCCCGGCCTATGCGAGCTATCTTCCTGGCGGATGGCAAGGTGTTCACCACAGGCTTCAGCCGCATGAGCGAGCGGCAGCTGGCCCTCTGGGACCCGGTGAGTGGCCGTGGCCAGCCTGAGGGGCAGGCTCCAGACTTAGTCTCCACCCTGGGTAAGGAGGGTAGGGGTCACCCTGGAGAGACATGTGATTCCCAGGTTCTCAGCCTGGCAACTGAGGCTCTCAGGACCCAGAGTCTCACCAACGTCTCCTCTCCGTGCCCCCTGCTCTCCAGCCTGCCCCACTGCCTCCAGCTACCTCCAAGTCTTTGCCCACATTGTTCTTGCCAACTGAAAGGCCCTTTTCTCCTTTGTTTGCCTATTCCCACCCAGCTGCCCTTCGAGGCGCAGTGCAGAGGCCCCCTCCTCCAGGAAGCCTCCCAGCCCTTTCCTTGAAGTTCTTTGTCCACAGCCCTCCACTTCTGTATTGTGACCTTCAGGAGCTGACACAGGCTCGTGCTGCCTGACACCCCAGCTTCCGTGTGGTGGGGACTGTCAGCACGTGCTCAGTGGCCTACGAGTAGTCTAAGCCTGGAATAGGCTGGGAAAGTGGGACTCTGGGAGCTGAGGGGAAGCCAGGAGGGCCTGGCGGGGCGCACCGTGTGGGCAAAGGCTTAGAGGCGGGAAAGAACCCACCAGCTTGGTAGCGGCAACGCTGGCTGGCATGTGAGGCTGGCTGGGGCAGCCCTGAGAGAGGGTTGGGACAGAGGGAAGAAGGAGGCTCTGGCCTGGCCTGACTGCTCCCTTCCCCGTGTGCCAGGAAAACCTCGAGGAACCCATGGCCCTGCAGGAGCTGGACTCGAGCAACGGGGCCCTGCTGCCCTTTTACGACCCTGACACCAGTGTGGTCTACGTCTGCGGCAAGGTGAGGCTGGGCAGGGCCGGTGGGGCAGAGAAGAGGGCTGTCTGAGCGCTGAAACCTGCTCCCTCCCGCCCCACAGGGTGACTCCAGCATCCGGTACTTTGAGATCACAGATGAGCCTCCCTATATCCACTTCCTGAACACATTCACCAGCAAAGAGCCCCAGAGGGGCATGGGCATCATGCCCAAGAGGGGCCTGGAGGTCAGCAAGTGTGAGATAGCCAGGTGAGAGGGCCACCCAGGCAGCTGGCTGTGGGAGGAGTGGCCTCGGGGCCCGGGCCGGGGCCAGGCAGTGGCATCCAGGGTGAGAGGTCAGATTGTAGAAGGCCCTGGGGTCAGGAGTCAGTATGGGAGGGGCAGGAGCGAGGACTGGAAGTGGAAAGTAGAGGGGGCGGGAAAGCAGGTGGGGGGAGGTTCCACCCACGGCTCCTCCCTTCCCTCCCTTTCCCAGGTTCTACAAACTGCACGAGCGCAAGTGTGAGCCCATTGTCATGACTGTGCCAAGAAAGGTGAGGCCACCCAGTTCCCCTGTCCATCCAGGCAAGTCAGGGGTGACCAGGGTGAGGCCTATGAATGGGACATGGCCAAGTATGGGTGCGGTCTGTGGACTGGACAAACGCCAGCATGTCCCCAGGTGTTGGGCTGTACTGGGCAGGGGGCAAGCTGGGGTAAGACACAGTGTGAGCTGAGGCCCTACCCTGAATGAGCCACAGGAGACAGAGCTACGGAGGTGCCCCTGTAGGAGGGCGGACGGACAGCACGGCTAGGGCAGGGCCCTCCAGTGATGGGCAGTAGGCCAGGTGAAGGGCACAGAGGTGGGAATGGAGAGAGGGACAGGGAGTCTGGCTGTAGTGGAGGCCCCCATGAGGAGATCAGGCCACATGTGGCTGCCTCAGATGCCCAGCCAAGAGGCTTGGACTTGCTTAGTTCTTTTCTAGCCAGCGTTTGCTGAGTGCACCATTCGTTGTGCCAGGCACGTCCAGGGAGCCAAGCTGTGAACAAGGCTGGCAGGGCCGTCCCAGGCATTCAGTCCATGGGCACAGCTGTGGCGCCCAGAATCCCACCAAGCCCCATAGCTGGCCCTGCTTAGGAAGGTTGGAGAAGGCTTTAGAGGGAGCTGTTGGTAGTGTCCAGAGGGGAAGTGAAGAGACAGATTTGGGCTTAGAAAGGTGACTCGGAGCCAGGCTATTAGAGGATGGGTTGACAGGGTGCAGGCCTGGAGGCCAGGAGAGTGATGAGGCAGCCACCTAGGGTCCAGACGAGGACCCTGATGGTGGGCCCCCAGCTGATCCGGACCCTCCCCCGCAGTCGGACCTCTTCCAGGACGATCTGTACCCCGACACGGCTGGGCCTGAGGCAGCCCTGGAGGCGGAGGAGTGGGTGAGCGGGCGCGACGCCGACCCCATCCTCATCTCCCTGCGGGAGGCCTATGTGCCCAGCAAACAGCGGGACCTGAAGGTCAGCCGGCGCAACGTGTTATCTGACAGCCGGCCGGCTGTGGCCCCTGGCTCCTCTCGGCCCGGGGCCTCCACGCCCGCTGCCTCCACCAATACAACCAGCGCCAGCTGCAGCCTCTCCGGAGCGGTGGTACGTGCCCTGTAGTCTGGGGTGGTGTTGGGAAGCCCCAGTGTGCTGTGTGTGCCCGAACCATTTGGTGCCTCTCTCTGGGCCTCAGGCCCTTGCCTGGTAGTCGATTTGGGGAGGGCTGCAGCTCCATGACCCGGACCACCCCCCATGTCCCTGCAGGAAGCTGGAAAGCTGGAGGAGGTGATGCAGGAGCTGCGGACACTAAGAGCGCTGGTCAAGGAGCAAGGGGAGCGCATTGGCCGCCTGGAGGAGCAGCTGGGCCGCATGGAGAATGGGGACGCATAGGCAGGACCACAGACCCAATGAATGCCACTCTGCCCCCACCTCCTCCTCTACCCCCTTCTCACTCAGCCTCTGCTGGCAGGTCACACCACCCCCTGCTGAGGGCCCCTGGGGCAGGTTCAGGGGCCAGTCCATACCCTGACCCGTCCTGTAGGCCAGGCTGGAGCCACCTGGCTTTTGTCATTGATACTGTGGAGGATTTTTGTACCAAGGCAAGCTTATACTCCGAGGGACCATCTCCCCACCCCCACCCCCACCCCCAGCTCCCTCCCCGGAGGAGTGGGAGGAATGGGCTCTATATTTTCATCCAAATAAAATTCGCTTTCTAAAAGCCAGGTTTGCCATTCTGCTGCAAGGGTGGGGCTGGGGAAGGAAGTCTGGAAACAGGGACAGATGAAGCCTGCAGGGATCACAGATGTAAGAAAGGTCTGGGGGCCACGAGCATTCCCCAGCCAGTGTCGCCGAATTTTGCCAGGTAGGGAAACTGAGGCAAGAGACATGGAAACCTCTAGGCCCATGTCCTGCTTTGAGTTGGGTGCCCAGTTCCTCTTCTTGGAAGCCTGGTCACAGGCCCCATAATCCCAGCCTTGCCCAGTGAGAGACCTATGAGGATCTGGTGTGGGTCAGAGTGGTTCCCAGGGGCCCAAGGTCCCTCAGGGGCCTGTGACAGGGAGGGATGGGTGGGGTATCGGAGGCAGGAAACGGAAGCTCAAGTAACCCCTAGCTGCTCTTGAGCGCCAGAGCTCACTTCTCACTCCACACACCCAGTGCTGAGAGGCCCGCGGACTGATGGTGAGTGATGGAGCCCACTGGGTCCTTGGAGTGGGGGTGACAGGAAGTCAGGGCTGAAATGTCTGGGCCTGGGAGCTAAGGAAGGATTCCCCTTCCTGGAGCCCAGGGCAGATGCATCCATTTGGGGCAGAGGCCAGAGAGCCGGGATGAGCATGGGGCAGAAGCTGGGCCTTTATCTCACCTCATCTCAGAGCTGGGCTGAGCTGGGACTCAGGATGTGGCCCCAGCACCCCACTCCAGGCTCAGTCCCCCTTCAAGACCCTGGATAGACCCTCACCTGCTCTGCTCCTAAGCTGGGACCCAGGCACAGCCCCTACTGGCAGGCCTGGAGCCTGGGCAGACAGCCTGTGAGGGGAGTCTTGCTTGTACCTTCGCACCCCTTCCCCCTTCTCCCCACACCCCCACATACCTTGTTCCAACCGCAGGCTTCCTCTGGCAGCTGCACCCGCCTCCCCCAGCCCGAGGCCCCCAGGGACATAGACTTGAACTGAACGGAAACGCTGCAGCTGGGGCTGTGGTGGGGCAGTCCCGAGGGGCTGAGAGGAAGAGGAGTGTCAAGGACCCCCTTCCTGGGACCTGGCCAAGTGGACGGATGGTCAACACTTGCCTTGGGGTTGGTTCCTCTATCCCAGGCCTCAGGAAGGCCCCAACACCAGCCTTGCAGGTCCCTCCCTCCCTCCCATTCCCCCACACACACAGTGGGTAGGTTCTTGACACCATCAACCAATATTTACTGAACACCTACTGTGTCCAGGAATTGTTTAGGTGCTTGAGCCAAAAAGATCCCTGTCTTCCTGCAGCTGATTCTGGTGGGGGAGTTAAGACAATAAACCTAATCACCAAGCAGTATCTCCCGGGCTAGGAGTGGGAGGAAAAGGAGAGCTGGGCTGGGCTGGGCCTCGGGGATAAGGTCAGGGAGGTGATCCAGGTCAGGTTAGACCTCTGAGCTACTGAGCGGAGGTCAGCAGGCACGCCATGGGGCAAGGGGAGGCCGGATGGAACGTTCCAGGCAGAGGGCCCCCACTGCTCAACCCGGCTTCTGAGGTGCCGCGGGAGGGAGGGAGGTGGCCAGATCTCAGGGCCAGGCCCTGAATGACTAAGTACTTGGGCCTTTCCGCTTGACTGTCCCCATTTGCCCCAAAGGCAACTGAGGTCCCAGTCACTCAGCCTGCCCACTGCCTGGCCCCCAGCCCAGGTGATGAGCCCCTACCTATCTCCCCACAGGACCTGCCCTGCGCCCTAGGGCTCGGGACACTGCTGGCCCTGCCAGGGGTCCTGGGCTCAGGTGGCAATGTCAAGGACGGTGTGAGCTCCAGCTGTGTCACTGTTATCCTGCTGTTGCTGCTGCTCCTACTGCTGGTCACTGGCCTGGTCCTGGCCTGGCGCCGCCTCAGCCGTGACTCAGGGGGCTACTACCACCCGGCCCGCCTGGGTGCCGCGCTATGGGGCCGCACCCGCCGCTTGCTCTGGGCCAGCCTGCTAGGCCGCTGGGTCCAGGCCCAGGCCCAGCCTGAGCTGGGGTCACCACGTGAGGATCCGGAGTGGCAGGAGGATGAGCAGGATGCAGAAGACTACTGCTTGGATGGTGGCCGGGAGGAGGCACAGCGGTGTAGCGCGCAGCCCAGCCTGCAGCAGGCCCCCGAGCCCAAGCAGGAAGCACGTGACCGTGATGGTGGTGCCGACGGAGGCCTGGGACTCAGCTCCCAGGGGCCAGAGGGCTCAGCTGGCAGTGCTGAGGCCCTACTGAGCGACCTGCATGCCTTTGCTGGCAGTGCGGCCTGGGACGACAGCTCGGGGGCAGCAGGGGGCCAGGGCCTCCATGTCACCGCACTGTAGGGGCCAGTCCTGGGGTGACTGTGCCTCTGCTTCCCCAGCTGCCATGACTGGACACAGCCTGCCCTGGACCCAATGTCACCCACACCTCCACAGAGAGAGCCTCAGACTGTCACTCGCACCCCCCAGTTGTCTCCAAGGCTGTGCATCCCCACACCCTCCAGGAAGGTCACTCACTCCCAGGGCATTGGGCAGCCATCTGAAATAAAACCCTCCCGGCCCTGCAGTTCTGTGGTTCTGTAATGACCCTTCTGTCCAAAAGCAGGAGACAACCTCGCCCACTTTTGCCCCCAGAAAGCCAAAGGAAGAGCCAGGTCAGTGCCATGATGCGATACTTTAATTGTGCAAGGGCACAGCTCAGCTGTGGGGGGACCTCCACCAGCAGCCGTGGCCGACAGCCCTTCATGCTCATGATTCAGGGGGATGGCCACTCCCAACAGAGACACACACTCTCGCACACACTCACTCCAGCCCCTCTAGACACCTGCCAGGTCTCTGGAACTGGCCCAGGGTCCCACTGTCCTCAGAGCCTGCAGGGAGGGGCCTCAACAGCTGTCCTCATCCCAACCCATCCTCCTAGTGCCCAGGGCGCCCACGGCCCCTCTTGGACTTCTTGGTCCCTGAGGGGGGTCGGATGGGGAGGGGAGCAGTGCTCGAGGGTGGTGGTGGTGGTGGCGGAGGTGGCAGGAGAGGAGGTAGAGGGGGCTCCATGGGCTCCGGTGGGCCAGGGCTGGGCCGGAAACCCTCAAAGGGTGAGAACTTCAGGGGGCTGCAGGGGAAACCAAGGCAGAGTCTTCGCCTACTGGCACCTGGCACCAGGGCAGGAAAGCGGACTTCCCCACCTGCCTGGGTGCACAGCTGTGAGGTCAAGCGCCCATCCGGGCAGCCCCTACCACAAAGGGTCCCCATGGTAGACGGGAAATGGAGGCTAATGCCAGCTAAGAGGCTCGGCCAGGGCAGCCCCAGGGTTGACTAGAGCTAGAGCTCTGCCCCAGCTACAGACCCCCCCTCTGCCCAGGTACCTGATGGGGGTCCGGGGGCTGCTGTTGAGGCGCCTAGGGGAGCGCAGCTTGGGCTGGAAGGAGAAGCCCTCTTTGATGCTGTCCAGGACGGAGGGTGCCACGTACGTGAAGCCCTGGGATAGAGGCAGGGCCGGGCGACATTCAGTATCCACCATGCCTTAGCCACAACCCCCGCCCATGTCCCCAGAACTCTCAGGCCCCCCAGACCTCACCAGGAAGGCTTGGTTGGCGCTCTCACTGAGGGCCATGTCATCTGGACTGTCCACTGGTGTCTGCCGCGTGAAGCGGGTGTCAAACTGGCTCACGTCCTCCTCTGACTGCTGTGGGCAGACCCGAGTGGGGAGGGGTTAGGGGATGGCCAAGACGGCGTCCTCCACCCACCACTGAGCCAGTGGGACCTCCACTCACCAGATAGGGCCTGAAAGGGGGGTCCACGCGGCGGGCCAGGAGGTCGTCCCAATTAATGTGCCGGAAAAAGGGGTGCCTCTGTGGGTACAGCGCCCCGAGCATGTCAACAGTTCACCCTCCTTGGCTCCCCCAGTAACTGCCCTACGGCCCACCCCGCCATGGTGGTCCCAGACCCACCTGTACATCAGCAGCGTCCCCTGGGCCTCCCCCAATCCGTTGGCTGGGATTCCGCTTCAGAAACTGCAGGACAAGGGCAGAGCGTGAGGGTGGGAAGAGAGGTACTGCTTGTGTGTCCCCCATGTTCCAGGGGCTGGCTAAGGTGAAGGGGAGAACAGGAAGAAGGCAGGGAGGAGGCTTCTGGAGCATGGTCTCCCCCTACTGACACCCTCGGGACTTCCAACACTCGGTCCAATGGCCCCTTCTCCACCAAGCCTCCACCGAGGCGTGTGGTTTCTGGCATCATCCCAGGCTGCCTTGTGAGGATCCGACTCCAAATCGGCATGGGCGCCCACCCTCCCGCTTTCTGCCCGACAGTGGCCTTGTTGATGGAACAGTGGCTAGCTCATCACAAACAGTTGGCAGATTAGGACTCAGATTAGGGAAGTGTCTGGGTCAGCAGCTGCTCTGCTTCAGAGCTAAGCCCCAAGCTCAATGTTTGGGACCCCAAAGTCCGTGCTCCTCCATCCCAAAGGCACACTGCACAGGCGGGGTGGCTCCGGCTCCCCACAGTCCAGAGGCACTGAGGAACCTGTGAAGGGCCTGGGAAAAGAGATGGGAGCTAGACCAGGGACAGCAGGGAATTCACCTTTTTGACAAGGTCTCGGGCATCGGGGGTGAGGTAGGGGGGCAGCACCAGCTTCCCTTTGATGATCTTGTCCATGGTTTTCTTCCGGTTCTCTGCAGTGAAGGGTGGCTGGAGGAGGCGGGGGGTGAGAGGAGCCTTGTGGGCCTCCCACCAGGCCCTGCCCCTGCCGAGAGAGGGCCTCCCCCTACCCCCACGCCCTGCCCTCCCCGGGAGGCTGGACTTGCCGATCCAGTGAGCATGTCGTACATCAAGGCCCCCAGGCTCCACCAGTCCACCGCCCGGTTGTGGCCGCTGCGCACCAGAATCTCGGGGGCCCTGGGAGCCGGGTGGGACTGTCAGTTGGGCCAGGCCCTTCCTGGCTGTCCTCCTGACCCCTGGGCCCAGCCGACTGCCCCTTACATGTACTCCACGGTACCACAGAAGGTGTGGGTGACGGTACCCTCATGAATTGACTCCTTGCAGAGTCCAAAGTCTGTCAGTTTGATGTGGCCTGAGGGAGAATGTTGGAGGGGATGATCAGAGCCCCGGGCCACCCCAGGGGGCTCCTCAGCCCTCCCCGCAGGTTCCGCCCCGGTAGACGCCGCTGCTTGGGCAGCGTGCACACATGCGCACCCTGGCTGCTGAGCATAATGTTCTCCGGTTTGAGGTCCCGGTAGATGATGCCTTGGGAGTGGAGATGGCCCAGGGCCAGTGTGATCTCTGCCAGGTAGAAGCTGCAGAGACAGGACAGGGTGAAGGCAAGGACAGGGGACCCAGGGCCTGGGTGGTCCCGGGAGCACCCCCCCAGGAGAGAGGGAGGAAGTAACACCCACCAAGCCGTGTCTTCCAGGAAGATGCCCTCTCGCTCCAGATGTGTGAAGAGCTCACCGCCTGCAACACAAACACGTCAGCAGCTGTGTGCTGGGAACAAGCTGCTTTGTTCTCCAAGTCTTGGTTTCTTCTTGGGGAGAGTGGGGCTCGTAATTCCCGCCCTACCTGCCTCACAGAGCTGCCGTGGGGTTTCAATTCAAATTCAGCAAACATCTACCGACGCCTACTCGGTGCCTGGCCCTGTGCTGGGTGAAGCTGGGAACACAGATGAAGAGACCCAGCCATTGCCCTCAGGGTGCTCAGTCTAATGGGAAGACAGACATGCACATAGCGGCTCTTATAGGCCAGACTGAGACAACAGCTCCGAGAGTTTAACCCAAAACATCTCACAGAAGAGACAAAGGAGGACAAAATTAATCCCAAAGTGAGGGGACGGAAAGTAGCAATGGGACTTAAAGGGCACGCTGAGATGGGGCCCAGGGGAGGCAGCGCTCAGGGCTCGTCTGGCACAGATGCGGGAGGTGGGAAAAGCAGGCCTGGGCCGCTCTATGGCGGACAGGAAGCCAGGCTTTAGTTACAGGGCCATGAATTCTGAGGTGGAGTGTTGGGAACGACACTGTGCTCTGAGACTGACGACCCCGGGAGGGAGTGGGGAGGATGGAGGACACAGCAGAGAATGACCCAACTGGATTTGGGACCTGACTGGATGCAGGACACAGGAGAGAGGAACAGGACATGAAGAGCAATGGAAATGGACAAAACAGCCCTCTAGACTTCTGTACAAACTCCCGCCATTCCCATCCACCCCCAATACAGGTGAGGGACACAATAAGGCGCTAGACGGATGTTTGCTGAATGAATGAATGAATGGACAGACAGACAAATGGATGGGTGTGGGGGTCCCCTAGCCATTCTACACACCACATCTTTCCAGGCTCCCCCCAGAGTCCCCAGTGCTGGTTCCTTGGCCCTGCCCACGCCCCTGGCTGGGCCCACGTTCATACCACTGAGGCACTCGAGGATGAGGTAGAGTTTGCCACCAGTCTGGAAGGCATAGGCCAGTTCCACAATGAAGGGGTGCTTCACTGACTCTAGAATGTTCCGCTCAGCCTGAGTGTGTGCCGTGTCCTTGGCGTTACGCACAATTTTGGCCTGGAAAGGCAGGAATCGGTTAGAAGGTAGGCCCTCAGTCCCTCAGCCATTATCCTTCAGCCACCCTCTACCACTATGAATTTCTCCATAACCCTGCTGCGATCAGCAGTCATTCTCTTCAGGGGCTGATTTCTCCTCTAGCACAGTGTTTCTCAACCTTGGCACTGCTGACATCTTGGGCAAATGATTCTTGGTTGTGGGGGGCGTCCAGTGCACAGCAGGATGTTTAGCAGCAGTCCTGGCCTCTACGCACTGGATGCCAGTAGCACCCCTCTCTAGTCGTGATTCAAAAATGTATGTGGACATTGCCAAATGTGCCCCGGGCAGCAAAGTTGCCCATGGTTGAGAATTACTGCAAAACTGTATAGAGTCATATGCTGCATAATGACATTTCAGTTAACAATACACCCCATATACGACGGTGGTCCCATAAGATTATAACGGAGCTGAAAATTCCTATCGCCTAGTGACAACATAAGGTCCTAGAGCAACATCCCTCACGCGTCTGTGGTGATGCTGGTGTAAACAAACCAACTGTGCTGCGAGTCGTGTAAAAGTGCAGCACATACAATTCTGTAGAGTACTTGATACTTGCTAATGATAACAAATGACTAAGTTACTGGCTTATATATAGACTATACTATACTTTTAATCTCTGTTAGTGTGTACTCTTGCTACTCACAAAAAGAAAAGTTTGCTACAAAGTTAGGCTGTTATACCCGCAGCAGCCTCATACTCTTCGTGTTTATTGTGTCTCTTGGTTGCATCAGTTTCTCTTGTTCCTGATTCAACCTTGTGTTGTTTTGTACAGCAACATGACATACAGGCTTGTGGACTGAGAGCAACAGGCTCTACAATACAGCCTAGGTGTACAGCAGGCTGTACCACCTAGATTTGTGTAAGTGCACTCTGCGATGTTCGCACAACGACAAAATCACCTAACAACGCATTTCTCAGAACATATGCCCTAGTGAAGCAGCACATGACTGTAATCATAATTGACAATAAGCCAGCAAATGCCCAAGACAGGGACCATCTCCTCCATCATGTTTGCTGCTGTCTTCCCAAAGCCTAGTGTAGTGTACTGAGAATGGCAGCCACTCAGTGAAGATTTCTTGGCTGAACGAATGACTCACCTTCCTCAGGACTTTCATGGCATATATTTTGCCCAAGTTGGCGCCCTGTACCTTCCGCACCTGGAACACCTGTAGGGCAGGGGAGACAGGATCAACTTCCCTCTCCACATCCCATTTTCAAAAAGCCACACCCAAGGGTGGGACAGTAAAGATTTCAAGTCTGATTCTGAGAGTATTTCCCCTTCCCCGCCCCTTATGTTTTCACCTCTGAGTCCTATCAAAGGATCTGCTGATTTAGGAGTCTAATTTGTTTTGAGAACCCTTTGCTACATCAAGACTGAGGCTGCGAGGCCAGTCAGGAAGGAGGTGGGGCCAGTACCTTGCCATAGCCCCCCTTGCCCAGCACGCGCAGCAGCTCAAAGCAGTGGGGCCCGATGCGCTCAGGGCCCAGGTTCACACTGGTCTCGGTCAGCTCTACCTCCTCATAGTGTCCCACAGGCCTGTGGACACAGGAAGTTAATGGGGGGAAGGCTCCATACTCCCCAGGCCCCCTTCCCCAGCCCATTCCCTCCTCCCACAACATGACCCTCACTCACTCCGGGCCAGCTGCCCTCAACTCGGCAAGGGGACACACGTCCTGTGAGAAACCGAGGGGTAAGAGGCAAGGGAGGTGCCAGGATCCCTCACCCCCAAGGTGGACTGCTTGGCCCAGGAGAGTAGGGGGGGTCAGGAATGGGAGCTGTTAGGCGATGGGCCAGGACTGGGGAGGACAGGCCGAGGGCAAAAAAGGGAGAATCAGGGGAAGGGCTAGGGTCCCGGAATACAGGTTGGGGTGAGGGTGAGGTCAGAGCTTACTAGGGGAGGGGATCTGAGAAAGATCGGGGTCTGTAGGAGGGGATCCCACTCCTCTCGGTGGGGGTAGCGGAGGCGATCTCATCGCCAGGGTGATGGGATCGGTTCCGGGATCGAGCCGCGCAAGGAGGACCACTCACCGCAGGGCTGAACTCTGGCTCGCCCTCGCCCTCGCTGCCTTCCTCCGTCTCCAGGTCTAGATCAAATACCGCCGCCATGGCGGCGCCGGCCCCCGGGGCCCCTCGGCTGGTACCTGGCCCCGCGCTGTGACTGACAGCCCGGGCCCAGGCCTCTACGTTAGCATTCCGCGACCGCGGCCGCGCGCGCGGATGACCCAAATCGCATCGCCCTCCCTCCTGCTGGGAGAAAATATGGCGTCCGTCGCAAGGCCTCTTGGGAAGTGTAGTTCCAGAGTGCCCGGGTGCCAAAACCTGCCGCCTTTGGCGAAGCCCTCCGTCTTCCCAGCACAGCTCCCGGGGAGCGGCACCGGACAGGGGCTGCCTGTGAGTCGCCCATCTTGGCCCTGGGGAGAGTTTGGGTTCGGATGGGGCAGAGTCGGAAGCGCTCACAGGTATGAGTGTAAATGCAGTTCCCAGCCCTGTTGAGTCGTGCGCTGTCAGGCTGACTGGGTGGCGAGAGGCAGGTGGCGTCTTCTCCTCTCTGTTCGTCCCTGAAAAGGAGGCGGCTGCATCAGGGTCTCTCTAATGTGCCTCCATGCTCGAGGACCCTGCAGGTCCGAGCATTTACTGGGTGACTGCTCCGTGCCCTGCTTACTTCCAGGCATTGTTGCCAGGTTCCTGCCAGAAGGCATTTGTGTCTCATTAATCCATCTGTAAATATGGGCTTGTGCTGGAGTTTGCTCCGTTGCCAATTTAAGCACATTTAGTAATCCGGCTACCTGGTACAGAATAGGCGCTTAATAAAACTTGGTTAAAAGAATGAATGAATGAACACACCGAACCTGGTCTGTGACTTTAGATTTGGACATGGATTCTTGTCAGATGGGGCTTTGTAGGGGTGAACTTGGGCCAGATCAGGCCCTGGATGAGTAGATATGAACTCAGATGGAGAGACCTCAGGTGTCTCCAGGCTGGAGGAAGATTATCTGGTTGGATGTGGCCCTCTGGTTGTAATTCCATCCTCAGGAAACCCTCAGGTTTGGGTCTTGGTGTGGGTGCCCCTGGCAGGCCCCCACCGAAGGTCAATCCAAAGGCCTGGCCAGTGTGGCGGTTATCCTTAGCTCCAGATGCTACACGTATCCCCTGGCCACCTCTCCCTCCTCCCTTCCCCACCCCCCATCTAGCTGAGCCTGAGAGGCGTTGTCCAAGTCACAAGAACCTATCCCAGACTCTGGACATTTCAGTAGTCCTTAAGGCTTTATTTGGAGAGGGATACTTGTGGAGCTGTCCACAGCTCCTGTGCTGCGCAAAGGCAGGAGCTCTTAAAGCAGCCTCCCCTGACTTAGGAAGGGAGTGTAGACTCTCCTCTGCCAATGCTAGTTAGGTGTGCCAGAGGCCAAAGCACCGAAGCTTGGTGGAGAAGATACATCATGCATGGGGGGTGGGGGGGTTCACATGTCTCCGGGCCACATATGAATGAGGGCAGGGAGGTAAGCAGGACCTAGAAGCTGAGTGAGCATGTAAGACTTAGTAAAAGCAGAAACCTGGACCTTACGTCTTGTCCCTCAACCCTCATTCCACTGTGATATGACTTTGAGGCAGTGGATTTCCCTCTTTGAGCCTGTTTCCTCATCTGTAGAATGGGGCAATTGTGTTTACCTGGAGGGGAGATGGTTACTCCTGACCCCAGGTTACCTGCTTCTACTGCTCAAGCCAAATGATGCAGGTGCGGCACTGCAAAAAGTTGTCACCAGGCTCTGGAACTATCCTGGAATTTGTTAAATGATGGGGTTTAGTCTCAGGTTTTCTTGGGATTTGTCCAAGGCCAGGGGCCTGCCAGGTTCTCTTTTCCCATAGATGGCAAGAAGAGAGAGACACTTGGAAGGGTGGGGAGGATGGGCTGGGTTTGGGCCCATTCCCACTTCCCTGGGGGTGGGGTGGGGGGGATGTGTGTGTTTATGTGCAGCTGTTGTTGTTTCTCCACTGCTAGAGTCTTGGGGCAGCTGTGGGCTGGACTGGGGCCTTTGGCAGGGCAAGAGGGCCCAACAGCCCCCTAGATACTTTCTTCTGTGGCCTTCAAGCCCAGGAGGCCTTGGTGTCAAAATGACCCTGCCACCCTGGAACAGACCTGAAGCTTTGGAGTGGGTTGGGCCAGGTTGGTTGGGGCAGGGCTATGGAAAGAGAGGCAGGGGGAGCATCGGGTAGCAGAAGGCACCACAGCCTCCCTCCAGCACTTTGCCCCTGCCCCCGGGCCCCAGTGCTATTTGAAGTGGGACAGGAAGTGGGCAACCGGGTAGTGGGGCCCATCGATGCCCAGGCCCTGGCAGAGGCCCAGCAAGCGGAGGCGGGCCTCTGCTAGGCTGGACCCAGTACAGGCCACACTGCAGTAGGGCTCCTCGTACTCGCTAGGCACCAGGGCCTCCTCTGAAGACATAAACAGATTGAAGCGCAGCAGGCCCCGGTCATGAAGAGCCTGCAGGGCCTCCTGGCTGGCAGTGGAATTCAGCACCTGCAGGTGCTGGGACACCAGGCACATGACACCTACCAGGTGGCCACGAGCCCGTGGGTGAGTGGGCAAGGCAGGCTGCAGGCCGCAGGCCACCATAGCAGCAGCAAGCAACAGGTCCACACCGTAGAGCTCCAGGATCCAGTCCCGCAGGTAGAAGCCACCCATGCGGGGATTGATCTCAATGAGCCGCGGCCCAGCCCTGGTCAGCTTGAGCTCCACATTGAAGACCCCATCCAGCAGCCCGCAGCCCAGGCAGCAGCGGAAGGCTGCCTGTACCAGCTGTGCCTCCTGCTCCGGTGCCAGCCCAGTGGGCATGCAGGCTGCCGTCTCAGTGAAACCAGGCAGACGTGTGGGTCCATTGTCGGAAACAAAGGCAGCCAGCAGTCGCCCGCCAAACAACACCAGGTCCACATCGTGCTCTGTGCCCTCAATGAACTCCATGAGGAGCATGGCATTGCCCCAGCCCAGCCCAATGCCGGGGTGGTCAGCCTCACCCTGCAGATCTCTGGCGATCCGGGAAAAGTGCTCATGGCATTGCGGTGCATCCTCCACCAGCCGCACACCCACCGCACCTGCCCCAAACTCCAGCTTCATGACACCTGGCAAGGGCACCAGGTGGACGGCCCTCTCCACGTCAGCCTCACTCTGCAGTGGGCAGCAAGGCACAGCATGGAGGGAGGGCGCGGGCCAGGGCGGGCCTTGGCGGCACAACAGGTGCAGCTGGGTGTGGCTCTTCTGTTTGGCCAGGCGCATGGCGGCCGGGGGGCTGCAGGGCAGACCCAGCTCCTGACAGAGCAAGGCTGTGAGCACCAGGCAGTCATCCCAGTAGGAGAAGCAGCCATCTAACTGCAGGCCACGTGCCCGCACCAGCTCTGCCAGCAACCGTGCATTTTCCTCATCCCTCCGGTGCTCTGTCACATCAAAGTGGATGAAGGTCTGCACCAGCTGGGATGCAAAGTGGTTGGGGTCTGACTCCACCAGGTGTAGCTGCAGAAACCACAGAAAGGCAACACACTCAAATCAGCCCATGCTGGCCGCTGCAGACATAGGACGGGGCCTAGAAGGTGGTCTTGGCCCTCAGGGGTTCAACAACACTAGATGCTTAAAACAATACTTGTTGATAACGGAATAAATGAAAGGTGCCGAAGTGGGACACCTAACCCAGCCTGGTGGAGAGGGAAGGCATCCTAGAAAAGGAGGAGATGCTTCATCTGGGAGCTGAATAAGAGCCAGCCAGGGGAAAGATGGCTGCAGGAGGAAGAGGGCAGAGCAGAGGGATGAGGCAGGCAGGCAGGCTCATTCTCAAAGGCAGCCTCATTCTGTCCAGGGCTTGTAGGGAAACCACCAGGATTGGGGTTTCGGGCAGGTGGTCTGGTGTCTGAGCATTATGCTCTTGGCCATCATTCACCCAATGTGTTCACACTGGGAGGTGCCCACAGCGGAACCCAGTGGGGGCCCACACCCCCAAAGCTCACTACCTGCTGGGGGAACAGAGACATAAGGCAGTTGGTAGCCAGGGCAGAGGCAGCCCCTGAAAAAGGTAGGGAAGGTGGCTGTCTGCACTGTAACATTTGGCAGCGTGAGGAGTGAAGAGACATTCCAGGGGGAGAATACAAGAGTGGGGAGCAAACAGGCATAGGGATGGCTGGAGGGCAGGGTTGCCAAGGGGGTGTTGTACTGTGGGAGAGTGGGGAGGAGGCCACTGTGGTAGACTGGGGCCAGGAAGAGCCTAGACATTTGGCATCCATTTTTTTCTTACTGTTCAATGGGGATAAGAATGTCTACTGTGCCTGCCTGGGTCCAGATTCTATAATGTGAGGTCACTGCTGTGAACTTAATTCGGGATCTGTAAGCTGCTCCCCAGCACCATCCTCGTGCCCTCAGAAATTCAACCTCAAAGGAGGGACCTGCCCTTTCTACAGGATA